ACCTCTGCAGGAGATTGAGCACCCAGAGAATCTATAGATAGAGCAGCAGCATGTTGGGGCTGGTCTGACCAACCACACAGGGTATGTCTACACTGCAAATAAAAACCTGCAGCTGTCCCATGCCAGCTGGCTCAGGCTGTGAGGCTGTTTAATTACAGTGTAGACCACCTGTGCTTGGACTGCAGCCTGAGCTCTGGGACTTCCAACTTTGCAGGGTCCGAAAGCCCAGGCTCCAGGCTGAGCCCAGAAGTCTACCCTGCAGTTAAACAGCTTTGCAGCCCAAGCACCAGGAGCCCGAGTCAGCTGGCACGGGCCTGCCGCAGGCAGATTAGACCTACTCACGGAGCTGGAAAGAAAGAGGGCCAGCCAAAGCAGTTACACGTGCATGGCCATGAGGATGCTCTCTCCACAGCAAAATAATAGGAAGACAATCACATGCCAGTCTAGACCTATCTCAAGGGTGAAACAGGGCAACTGCCACAGTTTCTAACCATGTTCGCTACACTGTGTGTAGACACACACCATGTTACGCTAAGAGGTTACATGCTTGTTAAAAGTTGTCGACAAGGTCTGAAACGGGAAATTGGTGCTTAATGCCCTATAACAGTTCAGTTATAAAATGTGTGGAGGCTAAACATCTGAAGGCCAGTGTATCTGAAATAACTAGGACTGTCGATTAATTGCAGTTAACTCACGCAATTAAAAAAAAATGAATCACTATTATAAAAATTAATTGTGATTAATCGTGGTTTTAATCGCACTGTTAATAGAATACCAATTGAAATTTATTAAATATTTTGGACATTTTCTGCATTTTCATATATACTGTATTCTGTTATAATTGAAATCAGTGTATATTATTTTTATTACAAATATTTGCACTGTAAAAATGATAAACAAAAGAAATAGTATTTTTCAATTCACCTCATACAAGTACTGTAGTGCAATCTTTGTCATTAAAGTGCAACTTACAAATGTAGGTTTTTTGTTTTGTTACATAACTGCACTCAAAACTAAAACAATGTAAAACTTCAGAGCCTACAAGTACACTCAGTCCTACTTCTTGTTCAGCCAATCACTAAGACAAACAAGTTTGTGTACATTTACAGGAGATACTGCTGCCCTCTTCTAATTTACAATGTCACCAGAAAGTGAGAGCAGGCAATTGCATGGCACTTTTGTAGACGGCACTACAAGGTATTTACGTGCCAGATATGCTAAACATTCATATGTCCCTTCATGCTTTGGCCACCATTCCAGAGGACATGTTTCCATGCTGATGACTCTCGTTTAAAAAAAAAAAAGTGTTAATTTAAATTTGTGACTGAACTCCTTGAGGGAGAATTGTATGTTCCCTACTCTATTTTACCCACGTTCTGCCATATATTTCAGGTTATAGCAGTCTCGGATGATGACCCAGCACATGTTGTTGTTCGTTTTAAGAACACTTTCACTGCAGATTTCACAAAACACAAAAGATACCAATATGAGATTTCTAAAAATAGCTACAGCACTCGACCCAAGATTTAAGAATCTGAAGTGCCTTCCAAAATTTGAGAGGGATGAGGTGTGGAACATGCTTGCAGATGTCTTAAAAGAGCAACACTCTGATGCGGAAACTACAGAACTCGAACCACCAAAAAAGAAAACCAACCTTCTCCTGGTGGCATCTGACTCCGATGATGAAAACGAACATGCATCGGTCTGCTTTGCTTTGGATGGTTATCGAGCAGAACCCATCATCAGCATGGGTGCATGTCCCCTGGAATGGTGGTTGAAGCATGAAGGGACATATGAATCTTTACCGCATCTGGCACGTAAATATCTTGGGACGCCGGCTACAACAGTGCCATGAGAATGCCTGTTCTCACTTTAAGGTGACATTGTAAAAAAAAGAAGCGGGCAGCATTATCTCCTGCAAATGTAAACAAATTTGTTTGTCTGAGCGATTGGCTGAACAAGAAGTAGAACTGAGTAGATTTGGCTCTAAAATTTTACATTGTTTTATTTTTGAATGCAGGTTTTTTTGGACATAATTCTACATTTGTAAATTCAACTTTCATGATAAAGAGATTGCACTACAGTACTTGTATTAGGTGAATTGAAAAATGCTATTTTTTTTTTACAGTGCAAATACTTGTAATACAAATAAATACAAAGTGAGCACTGTACACTTTATTCTGTGTTGTAATTGAAATTAATATATTTGAAAATGTAGAAAACATCTACAATATTTAAATAAATGGTATTCTTTTGTTTAACAATGCGATTAATTGTGATTATTTTTTTAATCCCGCAATTAATCGCCATTAATGTTTTTAATCACTTGACAGCCTTAGAAATAACAGGTGCATATTGGGCAATATTATGTGCTTTGTGGAAATACCCCATTCATAGATATACGCTAAGTGATAAAAGTTGTACTATGAGGCATCATTGTTAATTTTTAGTGAGGTAAGAAAATTGTCTTAAGGGACCTTGTCAGATTAAATTTAGCCCAAAACATCTTGTTTTTTTTAAAGCATCTAAAATAAAAGCTTTCCATTATTTTATTTAAGAAAGTGGCTCTAAGGATAAATCTTTGTATTGAGATGGATGCGAGTATCCAAATGGCAGGAGGGAATATTGGTGAGGGAATGACCCATATTAAGCCTCTTAGCATGCCTAGTGTGAAGTCAACAGGCGTTGCAGGTGTTTGGCTTTTCTGAAAATCAAACCACTTATTTAGGTGTCTAAATGTGTGTGTGAAGTTCAACAGTCAATTCTGAACATTTTGCCCCAATGTGCCTTGTGTTGAAGAGCTCTGTACACACAGACGGGTTCTCTCTGTTACCTCACTTTCCCTTATGAATAATAATTTCTCAGCATTTTACCTTTCTATTTACTATCATTTGCAACAGACTTTTTGTTAACTTGTAATTATTTGTATTGTCGCTATAGCAGCAGCTGAAGGACAAAGGAAAAACGTAAGTTCAGTGAGCCAAGGTTTACAAAAGTGACTGTTGATCCTGGGTGTCTCAATGACCCCTTTCAAGGTCAAAGTAGGTGCTCACAACTGTTTGAAAATTGGGCTCTTCTGAGGCATCTCAAGTTGGGACTCAAAAACTGAGACGCCACAATCAATCCCTTTTGGAAATCTTGGCCAAACTAGGAACACTCTTTTACTTGCATTAAATTTGTTAAAGATCTTGCACAGAATAGCTTTTGGGAGCCTGTCAAAACATTTCTATAACAGTGTAAATCTGCATTATAAAAGGTTTCTACAGATAGAACTATAGTCCTTACTTTTAGACTTTTTTTTGAAGTAAAGAAAAATTCAGTTAAAAATCCTGTACTTCTTGTCAATCATTATTATAGGTCTGTTAGACTTTGCTTCCAGATTACTTATGTATCTGTTAGGCATTGGGAGCAGTCAGGTGCCTCAATGTTATTGCAGAGTCAGTTCTCTTGCATCACATAGGAGTTCTGCTGTCAATTTTAAAGTGAAGTGAGGTCCCGGGGAAGGTGTGCTGTCAAATGTTGTTTTATTCCATTGGAATCGCCTCTACTGGCAAGAACTAGATTAATTGCCTCCTGCAGCGCTGAGTCCAACACTTGTTCATAGATGGAGAAACAGACAAACATTTTGTTTTAAAACCTGCTTTGCTGCCAATAGTAACTTTCTTCCCTTAAACATTTCTTATATTTTAAATATTGTTGAAAAGAACAGTAGGTTCTCAGCAACTGGCCTGCTGCCAATCGGACTGGGAGAGCCTCCCTGCTGTGGAGTCAGAATGGGCACCTCAATCTGAAGTTTTGTTTAGAGGGTTTGGATAAGCATCCCTATTGCTGTCCACAACTTCCAGTGTGGTTGCAACTATGGGCCTCCATCAAGGGCCCTAGCTCCTTCCTTTCAGCCCTCGCTTGGCTGTCCAGCAATGGGCCTGGAAAAAAGTCACAATGTAAAGGTAACAAAGGGGGAGCACCAGGCTTTGTCCTATGCTAATCCCTATAACCAGAAATACAGCAGCACAGGAGTAAACACATCTTGGTGTGTGGATTAAAAATACATAGCTTTGATTAACCTAACCCCAGCAAGAAGGAAAGGGATATACAGCCAGATATACATCCTTTAACCGTGCGTGTCCCCCTCCCCCCCCAACATAACAATATTTCTTTATGAAACGTTTTCTAAAACTATGCACAAAACCCAAGAATGAGTAGCCCATATCTAACGGTTGATTCTGGATAGCACTTGGATAGGGACAATCCTGCTTTGGCTCTCCAAAGCCCCCTCAGTGTCTTGAAGACTCTGTGTTCAGGCCCAGCAAGCTCTGAGGACCTCTCTTCTTGGGCTTCTTACAGCAAATTCAAACTATTCCTGCTCAGCGTGCATAGTATTTTAAGGCAGCTGCTCTCAAACTGTGGCCCAGCGGAGGTCACGTGGTGTTTGCTGCTTTTTATAGGCATTTAGAATCTTCATTGCAAAGAAAATTCTACACACCGTTAGAGCAGCCATGGCTACTGATCTATAGGCGGAGAAAAAGCAGGAATCGCGGCTGGGACCATAGCTGCCAGCCCCCCAGTGGAAGCTGCCAAAGGGACCAGAGTTGCCTGCATGTCTATGTCCAAGGATGTTCAAGTCCATAGTGATTAACTATGATTATACAGTGCCTAGCACAAAAGAGTCCTAATCCTGGTTGGGGCTTTTGGGTGATACTCTAATACTGAGCAACAGGTGTGGTTCTCCCCCCTCCCCTCCATATCTCCCTAGTCATATAAGATTAGATGCATGGGAAATAGGGGTGATATCAGCACACCTATCCAGGGGCCTGGTCTTGTGTTCCTATGCCTCTAACCACTTCTGGGACTTTGAGATGCTTAAAATGCAGGATCAACCCTGGAATAGAACGTTGTTTTAATAAGGCTAAAGTGGTAGTTGTTGGTATCAACCAGTTTCTAGTTTTAAGGAGTGGATATATTCACGGAGTGTCCCTTCTAACTGTGACGTGCCTCTTCAGTTTAACCTGGTGTGTGAGGACTCCTGGAAGGTGGATCTCTTTCAGTCCTGTGTGAATGCTGGCTTTTTTTTGGATCGGTATACATCGGCTACATAGCAGACAGGTATGTGCGGGATATTAAAACATAGCCGATATCCCTAATCAATGTTTAGCAGTTAAAAATAAACAAATGTAGAGGCAAATACATCTGACTAACAGCATGTTCATGCGCCTTTCAATGAATGAACACTCCGAAGTCTCTCAGTCTTAGAAAAACATATCAAAGACTCTGGGTTTTTGTAGCTGCAGAGCTTTCCTATCCCACAAGTTTCCTCCCTGCAGTGCTCATGTGCTCCTCAGTATATTTTACAGTGATAACGTGCAAAAAACCCAGACACCCTATATGAACATATTGATTGTTAACAAAAGCCAGGAAACTCTGAGTTGGAGTTGTCATTCTGTCTTTCTGCGGTATGAATTGCAATTTTGATATGAAAACATCCTGTTTCCTTTTGTTAAAGGTTTGCTTATCAAGTAATAATACAGTCGGAGATTGCCAAATAGATACACTATCAATGCAAATATGAGAGATGAGTGATTTTCATAACCGCAGCACTGTGTTCAGAACTAGGGTATGAAGTCATTGTAAAGTCCCATTGAGATTAAGGATATACCACTGGCTCTGGGCACAGGAAGGGCATGTTGTGTTATAAACCATTAGAACCATTTTTCCAGTCACTGGAAAAAGATGTGCCCACATTCCTAACAATGTATTCCCCTCCACCCATCCCTCCACTCCCCCTCCAAATTGCTTTGCATTGCAAGCTCTGCAGGCCTCATTATGTAAGTTCTCTACATGTGAAACTTCGATTCGTATCAATGGAAGATCTGAACATGCATGGTTTGAGGATTGTGCTCTTTGTATGTAAATTAGTTACTCCTAATCCCCTCATTACATAGGCACTTCAAAAGAAACTGTAGAGTAATTATATTCATCTACAGGTATCTTTCCTCCCGATTGTAATTCCAAAAATAGACAGGAAGGGATACCTTTATCATTTATATTTATTAATATGGGCCTATTGCTCACCTATCATTTGGGATACTTGGTTTCATCCAAACTCCTCAAAAGCATTTATGGAATTACAAAGCAATGGAGAAGTTAACCCAAATGATAGGTGAGCACTAGGCCCCCATTAACACCATATAAATGTAGTTCTATAATATTAATGTGGGTCTATCCTTCCAATTGATAAATGTTTGGATTTCCTAATGCTACATGAAGTTTTTAACAGTTTACTTTGGTGTGTGTCTGTATTTTGATCTTGTACTTGTATTTGTATTTGTAATTCTTTTCCCATGCAGATTTGGCCGTAAACTTTGCCTTATAGTGACAATCCTTGTAAGTTCCGCCTCTGGAGTTCTTGTGGCCTTTGCACCAAGCTACCTTTGGATGATGATCTTTCGCTTCCTACAAGGACTGGTCAGCAAGGGCAGCTGGGCAGCAGGCTACATCCTGAGTAAGACTGGTGCTTTCCCTGGGAGTAATATTGGTAATGGGAGATGAAGGGAAAACTAGCAATTCATTGGACTAAAAGTGAACTGGGAAGCAGAAAAGGGCCCTTTGCTGCTTTTTGAAAGTATATATAAGGGATTGTTTCCCCCCTGCTTATTAGCTTACATTAGAGAGATCAGTTTCTTTCTTCCCTCAGATCCCGATGTCTTTGGAAGATCAGAATAGTGATGTCAAATGAGGCTGTTACCTGAGATGCAGTTCCCATTCCCCAGTACGCAAGAGAGGGAAGTGTGCAGCAGCTTGGTGTGACATCACTATTTAGGCTCCAGTGCGCTCTCAACAGAGTGAAAGGAGGAGGTGATAGAGGACTTTGAGGAAACAAACAACTTTGAGGAATCTTTATACCTAAAGGAGCAGTAAATGGCAAGCCCAGGTTTACATCTTAAACAATAACTCAAGTACAGTATATACCTACCAAGAAAAAGGCAGAAGTTGTTTTGGTGCTCTTTGATAGTGCACGCTCATTTGAATGGAAAATATATCAGAGGGTGGGAAGGCAATAGAGAGGTCACATGAGGAGCCAGATTAACCCATCGCTGGGTCCTAGGCAAACATACACTTCTGGGCCCCAACTTCTAATGTGAATCACAGCAAACTGTGGTACGGTACACTCACCAAGCCAGGCTGGCCATGCTGTGGATCTGCTGGACCGGCTGCTTGTCCTGCTGTTGCTTGTGGCACTACTCACCAGGACAGGGGTGGATGGGCCAAACCTGAGCAGTGCTGCAACCCCATGCACCAGGTTGCAATGCCACCCACTCAAATGAGTGGGCAGGTCTACATTAGAAGAGCTACATTGGCGCAGCTGCATCAGTAGCGCATCTGGGGAAGATGCTGTATTCCGACAGGAGAGCGTTCTCCAGGCGGCATAATTGCTCCACCTCTGTGAGAGGCAGAAGCTGTGTCAGTGGGAGAGTGTCTCCTGCCAACATAGCGCCAGTGTAGACAGCGCTTAGGTCGATCTAACTTGCGTTGCTCAGGGGGGTATCTTTCTTACACTTCTGAGCAGAGCCGGCTCTAACTTTTTTGCTGCCCCAAGCAAAAAAAAAAATAGTGCCGCCGCGCCGTAACACCCCCCCCATGAGTGCCGCCCTGCCCCCCCACGAGCGTTGTGCCGCCGGAAGCCCTGCACCCCCACGAGCGTTGTGCTGCCGGAAGCCCTGCCCCCCCACGAGCACCGCCTGGCAGAAACAAAAACAAACAAACAAAAAACAACCCTCCAGCGCTGCCCTGCCAAACCAAAAAGAAAAAAAAAAAAACCCGAAGCGCTGTGCAGCCCCAAGCATGTGCTTGGTCGGCTGGTGCCTGGAGCCGGCCCTGCTCCTGAGTGACATAAGTTAGATTGAATTTAGCGGTAGTGTAGAGCTGCCCAGTGAATTTTTTTCAGTTTGTGCAAAAATCTGCATTGGTTTAAAAAAAAAAAACCCATCACCTCCTCCCCTAATTTGGGCTCTGGGCATATGCCTCGTTTGCCTATGTGTTAATCCAGCCCTGCTCAAATAGTGATGGTGTCACTCTGATTATATCACTCTACACTGATCCAGCATTAGTTTGTTTGTTTACATGGTCTGTTAAATATAGTTTGCTGTTGCCCAAGGTGCTAAAGGTGCCATTAGGGATCCCTTAAGTGGTGCAGAATTTAGTTTGTTTTTAAAATATAAGCTTTTCTCCTTTACGGTTGCAAAGAAAATCTTCCAAATGCTACATGGCTTAGCATTGTCTGTCTTCCTGAATCTGTAAAGTGGACAGTTTTTAAACAATAGCTCTGAGTGGTGTGAACTGCCTCATTCAACATCAGTGGAGTGTTAACTCTGAAGGTGACAAAAACTGAAATGCCAACCTTTTAAACTATTATACTGCTAAACATTGTAGCAGAAACATCGAGCTATTGTAGTTATCCAGAAGTTTGAGATGAAGAAAACCTAATGTATCAACCAGTCCATTCTGTTAATATATAAATTTTCATTCTAGTGATTTGAGTATTAAATCCACTATTGGAACAGCTGCCCCCACCACTTCACATCAATCAAACAATGAACGATTATTACCTCCTTGCACAATATGATCCTTCAGTTCTACATTATGGGAACTTTATTTAGGATAGTGTTGTATAGTACAGTAAAAGATTTCATATGTAAATTTTGGTGATCATGTTTCACTTAAGCGTGGAATGCCATAACAGAGAATAAGATTTAAACACAGTACAGTCAGGAAGAACATAATTACTGACCTCAATGATCTAATAAAATTTAATAAGCAAATTAAGCTTGGCCTACAAGTATCAAAGGATTTGTATTAAGATTTTATGCAAAAATCTAGAATTAAGGAATGTTCTTCAGGGAATTGGTATTTGCCTCCAGACTCCCTGAAAAGAATCTACGCCTCCTGAAATGCTTGAAACCCCTTGTTTCTGGAGTAGGGTTTCTTGGTTCTTCTATCTCTAAAATGATCCATCAGTTTTCCTTCTGTTTTTGAACAGTCACTTGTATTATATACATTTCAGTCACAGAAATTGTTGGCCCAAGTCATAGGAAGACCGTGGGAATTCTCTATCAAGTGGCCTTTACAGTTGGACTTCTGCTGCTCGATGGTGTTGCTTATGCTATTCCTCACTGGAGATGGTTGCAGCTTACTGTTACTCTACCATGCTTCCTCCTCTTGCTCTATTACTGGTAAGCACTTTCATATACTGCAACAGAAGATTTAAAATTATATTTCCCTTCACCCAAGAGAGATGGTCAAGAGCTGTAGGAGAATGTCGTATTCTGTTTGGATGCACATGACTCTGGTTAATGCAAACAGCAGATCTACACCAACAAAGAGTAGAAATAGTCTCCTTTAATGTTCAATCCTTGGTTGTATTATAGCATGCACATCTTGTCTACTGTATTCTTAGGAATCAAACTTCTGTTATGTTATGCTGTTAGTGGATTATGTTTTAAAAGAAAATTGGATGTAAAGTAATTTGACACAAGGAATTGAATTTTATATATGCATCAATTGAACATTTGTTTAAAGGGAAATGTATTAAATAATTTAGGGCCATAATTTGACTGACATCCCCTTGAAATGGTGGTTAATTAGTGGTGATTGTCCAATGGCGAAGTATTTTTATTTAAAGTGGCTTGCTGCACAGAATTTTTTTTAAATTATACTATATTTTTTGGCACAACCAAAAGTAATAGGTTCCTCCTTTAGTAGATCATTTTGCTGTATTGTTTAAAAGAATTAAATTGTATCATTTTGGTTTCACTTTTTTTCTTTTTATGAGCACTTGGGTTGTGAAGAGTTGTCTGCCCGGACTGGGGATTAGGGGGGATAAAGTTTTGTTTTCTTCCTTTATCTATTTTTGTGAGTTTTATTTGACATGAGTAAATGGAGTGAAAGTTCCAGTGCTTTTAGAGGGGTGTGTCTGTTGTCTGTCTAGCTGGAAAATGGCTCCTCATGAGGAGTCATCAGATGGGTAAATTGATTGGGCGAGTGCTATGCATGTTCTTATTGCAAGGTTTTCTTATTATTTATTGTTTTATCATGAGTGTGTTCATCTCCAGTAAAACTGAGCTACTGCCAAGGCTGCTCCTCCAACTTCATCTTGCAGCACGGCAAACTGTTCTTTTCTTGAAAAGCTGAAAGTAGTGTCACTGTGTTCAACAGAAGTACTGTCTCCATAGCCTGGGTTCAGTGTGGATGCACCATTTTGTTTTCTGTATGGCAGTGTCTGCTTGCTTGAATTACAGGTGTGTGCCCGAGTCTCCAAGGTGGCTGATATCTCAGAAGCAAAATGACAAGGCCATGAAGATTTTGGACTATATTGCCAAAAAGAATGGGAAAAAGCTGCCTGCCCATTTTCAGGTGAGCTTGAGGTTTTATGCTTGTAGGTGAACATTATAAAAGTTTTTTGTATAATGCTTTCCACCTGAGGAGTTCTACATGCTGGTAAATATCAAAGTTAACCTCAGTCCCAGCTGGATAGCTATCATTCCCCATTGTACATATGAGGAAGCTGGTGCAAGGAGAGATTCAGACGCTTGCTCCATGTCATGCAGGAGGTTTGAAATAAGGCGAGGAATATACCCCAGGTGTCAGTGCTGTGCCAAGGTTCTTGTGTATTCCAGAGCTAAAACATTTTGCATTGCAATGCTGCTGATTCATGACCTGTTCAGCTAAGACTAAAGAAAAAGGAAACTTTTTAGAATCCTGGAAAAATTACTTAGGAAACACCAGATCAAATAGTTAAGGAACGACTAAAACTGTTGAAGTGAAGTTAAAGAATTCCCTCATTATCATTGTGATCCTTCTCCTCCGTATCCCATGCAATAATCACAATGGAATGGTGCATTTCCCAGGAAGCTCTTATGTATTGTATTAAGTAACATATCTAATATATGACTACAGTATGTCACGAGCCCCTCCCTTCCTGTTTGCTTTAACATGATAAATTTCTGTCACCCAGTTTAGCCCTTAATTAACAATGCACTGGTTCTTCTGTAGAATATTAATGTTGAAGAGGAAGGTGGGGAAAATCTGAGAGCTTCATTTATGGACCTTGTCAGAACACCTCAGATGCGGAAACACACATTCATTTTGATGTATAACTGGTAAAAAGTCTTAAGACAACTTTAATTTTTTTTTTTATTACAAAGCATTAAAGTTCCAGTTTTGTCTTACCCCCATTTCCTGCACTCAGAACTCAGTTTTTTCATGCTCCAGACTTTCTTCCTCCTTTGTCTTCCTGTACTGCTGGGGAGGTTTCTCGGTTACTCTCAATCCTGTCAGGGGAGATCACTGGAATAGTACGAGCTAGTGTTCTTAACTGTGGTTTTAGTTTAGCTCCATTGCCATGATGACCTCATGTGTCTGGTCTCCAATGGATGAATTATGGGGCCATATGAGGACTTCTCTACATACAGAGAAGTTACACTTGTTCCCCACTCCATCAGTTTAAGAGCATGTTATGTCTATGTAGATAAGTGCTTCAGTCAACTGTAACGAGACAAAAACTGGTATCAATTACCCCCAAATTGGATAGGGGTAAGAACTGGGGTAGCCTAAATTGGTGCAGGCTCAACCAGTTGGGTAACTGTTGGCTGCAACGCATTAGCACAACTGGCTTAATGTCAGATCTGATAGTTGCGCTCTATGCCCCCAGTGTGACCCCCACAGTATCTGCCGTACCCAGAGATGTCTCCCTATCCCAGGCCTGACTTTAGCAGGTCCCGCATCTGAGGACTGAGGTTCACTGGCTGAAGGAGCCATCTCACCTGAATCAATGTAAAGCAGCCATGGTGTGGACACATTCAATTGATGGTGGAACTATTGATGTGAAGAAATCGACTTGCAATACTGATTTCTCTAGTATAGACAAAGCCAAAGTGACTCCATCGGCTTTGCCTGTAGCCCATAGTCACCAATCAGCATCTAGGAATCTCTGTAGATCTGCTGGTGCTGATGCCTAAGCATAGACAAATCCGTGTTGCCATGACAGAATTTCCTAGTCTTAGAGCTTGTTTATGTGGTGTGCCACTGTGCAGCAAGCCAGCGTGTGACACTACAGTGCACCAGCTTTCCATGCAGTAACTCGCCATGTGGACATTGCTACAGCGCAGTAAAACACTTGCACTAAGTCACACTCCTGGCCTTTCAGTGCACTGTAGTAGTTCCCCGTGGGACATTACTGCATGGCAAGCTGAAGTGCTGTAGATTCACACCCTGGGTCTCCACACAGTAACTCGCCATGTGGACACGCTCTTAGCATCTTCCTTATATAAAACACTTGTAGGTAAATTTATCTTTTGAGGCAAGATGAGAATGTTAATACAAGCATTTGACCAGGAGAGCTTTTCTACCTTCTGAACCTACCTACCTAGATGCCTGGTCAATTTTTCCCTCAACTAAGAGCTCTTTTCAACCATCCGAGCTGTTAAGAGGAGTTATTTAGAAAACGCATTGCTCGTCCAACTGCCCATCTGAGTCTCCATTATGTCTGATGGTGAGGATGCAGAGGGCAGAATGGGCACTTGACAAAGGACTATTCCTTCAGTGATCATAAGCCCATAATTGTAACTCAGAGATAGAAGTATGAATAGTCTGAAAGCTTTTTTAGCCTTAGTCTATGATACCATTAATATTTCCTACCCGATTTATATTCAAGGCTTAGTTCCTGACCTACTGCATTATTTTATGGGCTGTAAACTCTACCTCTAGTTTCTGCTTTCCTGCATTAATCTCTACTGTTCTTCACTCAGGCTCTCAGGCTTTCGTCTACACTGTTGAGTAAATTAGAGCTGAAGTTGGTTTCATTGACCTAATTGTGGTTCAGAAGGTTTGTTTATATGCGTTCCAAGAAGAAACGGGGCTCTGTTCTTTGACTAAATCTCTTAAGAAGAATGGGCTCTGTTCTCTGCCTAGGTTGGCCAGCTCTCTTCTGTACCAGGGGCTCATCATGCACATGGCAATGGCTGGTGGGAACATGTATCTGGATTTCTTCTATTCTGCCCTTGTTGAATTTCCAGCTGCCTTCATTATCATTCTCACAATCAATCGCATCGGCCGTCGCTATCCCTGGGCTGTGGCAACTCTGGTGGCAGGGGCTGCCTGTCTCATTATGGCTTTAATCCCTGAGGGTGAGTTATCAGAGGTTTCAGTAGTTTACCTTCTCAGTGTTACCTCTTGGGGACCTCATTAATCTGTCTCGCTACAGTCTAGGTTTGAAAGTTTGCAAAAGCATGTCTGTGATTGTAGCCTGTGACCCTGACAGGTGCTGGAGACTTTCCTTGCACCCAGGGTTCCCACCCCTCAGAAATGAGATGGAGTAAATGAAAGTCTACATTTTTGCAGACATCAGAATTAATAGGAAATATCTTGGGGAAATAGGGTACTGTACATAACTTTGCAAATCACATTTAACAATAAACCCACGTGGTGCTGATTGTTTTAATCTGCTGCTTTATGCAATTAAACAATAGCAGTTCCTTTAAACTAATACAGTTCAAGTAATACAGGATTATTGGTTTCCACTAAAAATAACATTGTTTCATTAGATAACCCCTGCCCACCCAATCACCGTTGGCCCAAAAAACCTCCAGAAAACATTGTAAGTGAAATAACTGTTTCCTTTGCAGATATTCACTGGCTAAAAGTGACTGTAGGTTGCATTGGGAGAATGGGAATTACAATGTCTATCGAAATGGTTTGCTTTGTAAACACTGAACTGTACCCAACATTTTTGAGGTGAGTGCGTTGTCTGGGGCCAGCATGATGTGAAAGGCAGCTATTGAAACTGACGGATATGTTGTATTTTATATTGACTTAACGATTAGTACAGAAATGCTCCAGAATTATAGACCTATTGATATCTAAAGAACATTATGCAAATTGATCACTTAGAAAATTGAATAAAAGACAAGTTAATGCAGGAACAGAATATTCCTATACAACTTCTCCCTATATTGTACTGCAAATGGAACGTGCAGAGCTGGATTAAAGCAAGATTCTTGTCCTTCAAAACCAGAGTCGAAAGGGGCTAGAGACAATAATGAATCGATGAGAAATGGAGAGTCTATCGGGGGTCTGGGAGAGCAGGAAGATAGAAGTAGCATAAAAGAGTGTATCTGAGGAGGGGAGCAGAATTGAGGAGGACTGGGAAGAATCTGGGCTGGTTGACGTTTTGGAAGCCCCAATGTGTTGGTGGATTGGGGCACCTTTTGGTCTTAAAGGGAAGTGATGAATTCTCCATCCCTTGAAGTCTTCAAATCAAGACTGGATGTATTTCTGGAGATATTCTTTAGCCAAACACAAGTTACAGGGCTCAACACAGCAGTAACTGGATGATATTTAAGAGCCAGTGATCTAATGGTACTCATTAGCCTTAAAATCTATGAAACTATTAATCTACCCCTAAATGCTGGCTTTGTATAGCAGTTTTATAAGAGGATTTTAGGTACATGCATTCATCACTTAAAAAAAAAAAAAAAAAAAAGAACCCTGAAAGAATCTAAATTTAGCCCATATTATCTAGAAACTGCTAGATTCCCATACACTCATTTGAAACCTGTATAAAGATCATTCTGCCGATAAGCTCTACTTAGAAAGCTACTGAAGGCTTTTTTTCCTCTTTTTATTATGGACATATACATTAGGTGGACCTTTGAACATCTCCGTACATTGACAGTTATTTAAAATAATGTAGCTAATATTTTCAAAGTTCTGTTCTATCTGATGGGAGGTTCTAATCTGACACTCTGAGCCTGATTCTCTACTACCTTGAAGTTTATTATTCATCGTGTTTATCACAGTAGTGCTTAAGGGCCAGTCAAGAGTAGAGCCCCAGTGTGCTAGGCACTCTACAAACACAGGTCCCTGCCCTGAAAAGTTTACGATCTAAACAGAGAGGATAGAAACAGTGGGTGGGAGGGGTAACTTCATGATATTTTTATGTTGGGCGGGATCAGCTAAATGGGAAAGGAAGGGCGGGGGAGGGAGGGCAGAACAGATCGGAAGAAAGTAAGGAGGGGCAGGTGTGGAGTGAAACTGAGACACAGACAGTGAGGGATGGGGAGGGTTGGTGTAGACAGCCAATCAGCACAAGGCAGAGAGCCCACACGAAACTGTAGAAAGTTCTCTGAATCTCAGGGAATCAGTTACTCACACTTATGCAAAATAGGCGTAAACCTTCCCATGGCTATTTGGTAGGATTATAATCTCATGCTACACAGGTGTGAATGACTTCATGAGGAGCAAGGCAGGAGAGAATCAGGACTTGTGATTCTATTTTGGTATTTTATTATGGTTAGGCTGCTGAGACCGCAGCCTATCGTGCTGACCAATAGTCTCATTGTTTCCTTGTACTCCCCCCATCTGTCGTCTCGTGTCTAATGCTTAGATTGTAAACTCTTTGGGGCAGGGACGTTTGTTCTGTTTGTACAGTGGCTAGTGCAATGGAGTCCAGGTTCATGCCTGGGCTTTGAGGCACTGCAGTAATGCAAATAGTTAATCATCACAATTTTATGGCAGGATGTATTCTGTCCCAGCTCAGTGTTTTGATCAACTCTGCTCCAGCTACAGAACTTTTTCAGACCAATATAATGCAATTGTTTTGCTGTTAAATCAGGAACCTTGGTGTAATGGTCTGCTCTTCCTTGTGTGACGTTGGTGGGATACTAGCCCCATTCATTGTCTACAGGCTGGCAGAGATCTGGCATGAGCTGCCACTTATAGTTTTTGGTAAGTATTTTCTTACCTTCTTGTGTATTAACCATGCCTCAATTGTCATGACAAACAAATCTGAGAAACTGATTTCAAATCTAGGAGAGAAAATATTTTTTCCCTTCACAAAACCTTCAACTCATAATAAACTAATAGTTCACTTCTGAGTTGTGTATGTAGTCAGAGTCCGCTTCCATATTATATTTATGGTTTCTTACGTGCCTTTTTTAAAAAAAGCTGCAAACTAGCAAATGTTGCTTGACAAGTCGAAGAGGATTGTGAAATTCACTAAAATTCGGATCACATTTCAGTTTGTTGACAATATTCATTTGAGTCATTTTCTTACTTCTGTGGTTTGGTCTCTGTCTTGAGACAAGATGTTGTAATTTCAAATGGTGCCTGTTGGGTATATTTTGTGGATTATTAAGGATGTTGCAGACTTCAGTCTTGTCAATATTTCTCTTTTTTTGGCTAGACAACCATGTAATCATCTTTAAAAAAGGCTATAGACTAGTAAGTAGCCTTCTTCAGAACAGGCTGAAATTTCCTGGAGATTAGTCAATCTAAACTTTAGGCCAGATACTGCAAAATTCCAGTTTTAGGACTAGTGCATTATTGTGAGAAGACTATCTTTGAAGGCAATACATTATTTTTAATAAAGAGCATATTTATATTCTTTATAAGGGACTTCATAATACATACATTTTAGATTGGGGCTTATGAAAGTTGGTAACCAGGAACTTAATGAGTGAGAGAGGAACTGTAACTTTGAAAACCTTGTTCTCATGGTGACAGGGAAATCCAGTACATTTCATCTCGTGTAAACATACCGACTGCCATTTGTCAAACATGCCTTTCCAACCTGATAGATACCATTACAGTATGTAGCTTATAATTAAAATTTGGCCCTTTATTGTTGTACGTTAAAAAAACAAAATCTCTTCTACAAACTTTGCTGAATTTAATTAAAATAACAATTACATTTGATGCCATCTGGCTGCAATAATATCCTATGATGTGTGTGGGTTCTAACTTGGTCTTCTTGTGTGTGTTTAATTTGAAGCTGTGGTTGGTTTAATTGCTGGTGGATTGGTGTTGTTGCTGCCTGAAACCAAAGGGAAAACGTTGCCTGAGACTATTGACGATGTAGAAAACTTGCATAGGTGAGTCAGGAGGCACATTCAGATTGTTCGAGCTGTTCATATTTTGAAAAAGAAAAGACTAACAGAAAAAGCTACAGTGTAAATGTACATCCAGTGGCTGTCATTGAAATTATCGTGGCATTTGTGGCGTAGTTACTGCAGTATACTTCTGAGTTCTAGGTATACGAATGCTATGTAGATGGTGGCAAAGCTCATTTTGCCTTTAGAAGGTAACTGTAGTTGTATAATGGTGACCACTGTATTCCTGGTGTTCAATGGCCTTATGAAAAATGTTCAATTTTGACATCTCCAGCAGGTGCATCCATCCTGTCCCTCCTCCCAAAACACCATAAAATCATGTGAAATTGTTATTTTTTTGCACTTTTATTCTAATGGTGATTTTTCTTAGGACTGAGAAGAAAAACAGCTAGATAGACATTGTGTTTAAAAAAACAAAACAAAAAAACCTCCATGCTGCTAATGATGATTTCTTATTAAAGCTTATAACAAATAGTTCTACCCATATTTAATGTTTATAAATACTGTAAATATTAAAATAGTGTGATCTATCTACACGTGACTGATGGCAAGATTGTGACCTGGAATTTGCATTATGTACCTTCTCACTCCCTTGCAATGGCTACACCGATCATGGGTAGCAGAACAGGAAGGAGAGCAGCCTCTATGGGGCTGTTGCATCCCAACCTGGTGCAAGTGGACTGGATGGAGTAGGGAGTAGGAGCCAGGGCTCTAGCCCTCGAATTTGCTGACGAGCATAGTTATGCTGGCATGCCAGGGGAAGGATGTTGTGCCAGGTATGGGTCTGGCACAGGGTATAGTGCGGGAAATGGGTAGGCAGGTTGTAACGCTGATCGTTTTACTCAAAACCTTTTCCTGCCCAGAGCTATTTTTGGGTTGGCTGACTACCTTCTCTGCCTCCAGAGCACAGCTTGTTAATTTAGGAACCTTCCGCCTTCAGTTTGTTGCACTGGGAAAACTCTACTTGCCAGGAATCTGAGAACAACAAACATGGGCCATTAGTTGGACTTTGGATAGTAACATCAGCCTCTCAAACTCGTTGCATGACTGAGCAAATGCTGTTTGGGCGGGTCGGGGGAGATTTTTCCGCCCCCTCCCGCCCCCCGAATAGAAAAAGATGAATCCTTGTTATCAGCCACTGAGTGCAGTGATGTCAGGCAGCAATGTTTGTTGAGAGGGATAGCAAATGTCAGGAGGAATAGACAGCTCGTTTTCACAACGTCAGACGTGAGTGACCAGAAGTGCATATGAGGTTAGATGACCATTGAACCCATGATGACATCTTAAGAATCAAATTAAATTTACTATATAAGGCACCTATATGAAGTAACAAATAGTATGTGGTAAAACTAATATCTGCAGTTTAGCCTATAAGCCTATGCAATGCACATGTTATTGCTGAATGTGTCTCTTCATATAGGCAAAGTACCTTAGCAAATTACCTAAGCATATGCCTAATGTTAAGTACATGAGTAGTCACATTGCAATCGATGGGGCTACACACAGTCTAAAAGTTAGGTTTATGCTTGTGTACCTTAGATAAAGCATTAAGTCAACAGTTGGTAGTATGTGCTTGATCATATAACAAGAACAAAAAAATTACAGGATATTCATCTCAAGTGAATTACAAACTGTGATGTTGAAGTTGAAAATTTTACCCAACAGCCAATATGCTAATTCAAGCATCTAAGTGATTTAGGAGCATAAGACCCATTTTCAAAAGTGCCTTAGGCACTTAAGAGCCAAATTCCAATTAGTCTTTTACTCCAAACTGCCTAAATCACTTTTGAAAATGAGACTAAAACGCTTCTGAAAATGTTACCATTTTATTTAGCAGGTCACTAGTGTTCTATGTTCCTGGTTATTCTTTGTTTCTGGGTATTGCATGCTCTTTTCTCACTTCATCATTGTCCTGATTCCCTTTTTGTTTTTGCTTCATCTTTGCAGGCAAGAAAACCCTAGGGAGAAAATTATCTACCTCCACGTGCAAACACAGGAAGTTGCACACTCCAAATGTGATCGGTCTTTGACACAATAATACAAAAAGAGTTTTTAAATAACACACACCGTAGAACCTTGCTTCCTTTTATGCATCTCTGATCCCTGGTTCCACATACTTAAGGGTTTTTTCTGCTTCATTGTCCAAAAGGCACATCAAGTTACCAAGTACCTTCTTCCCTCTTACCATGTTGTAGTGTATTTACATTTCAGAACAGTAGTTTTGAAACTTTTGGTTGCCAGTCACCGTAGACAACACACGTATCTGTTCAGATACTTGCACTGCCATCATCCCTGTAGTATCTGAGTACTTATTAATACAGAGCTTACTTCAGGGTATGGCTACACTGCAATGAAACCCCAGGGTTGGTTAGAACTTGAGTCAACTGACCCATGTTAGAGAACTCTGGACTTGAAAGTCTACACTGGTTAATTATTAATCCTACATTAAGATTTTTCTGGGGTTGAACCTGGGCTCTGGCATCCACACTGCAGCACACTGACCCAAGTCAAACCAACCATATCCCAAAGTCCCTAGTGCCCTCCTGAAATGTGGCCACTCTAGCCCTTTGACTGTGATGCACTGTGGGCAAACTTTACTGCCCACCCTGCATGCTACAGACAGTTTGAACAGCTCACCAACGCAACCTGCCGAGCAGTCATTTTGATCTTTGTGCAGCCAGCTACTGGAGACAGCAAGATGGAGGAGGTGCCTTTTAACAAGCTTCTCCTTTTGCCTTCGCTCCTGTGTCAGGAAAGGGGCAGAGCTTTCATGAGGTGCTGGTGGATATTTCAGTGGTGTTTTCTGACCCACCAAAGGTACCTGATGGATGATGGGTTTCATGATGGAGCAGGAGGAGGCAGAGAAAGAAGAGTACCCTGGCTTGGCAGACCTGGGGTGGCAAATGCTCCTCAGTATAATCCGCATATTTGTTGACGCCCCCTATGTATACTGGTGCTTCTGGCACAGCCTGGTGGGATCATATCATTATGCAGACCGGGAATGACCAGCAGTGGGTCTGGCTTGCTCCTACCCTCCAGTGTAGATGAGGGCACTCTTGCTGGTCCAGAAGCAGGTTGCTATAACCATCTGGAAGCTGGCTACCCCAGACTGCTACAGGTCTGTTGCCAATCAGTTTGGTGTTGGAAAGATGACTGTGAGTAAAGTGCCTCAGGAACCACCACCACCAATCAGGTGTGTGATTTGCCCCAAGGTAGTTGGAACTAAAGATAATCCTGAGGGAATTGCTGGCTTTGAGAGAATGGAGGTTCCTAACTGCACTGAGGCCATTGACTAACCACTATCCAAGACCCCCACGACCCCCAGCCCACAACTCCAGTCAAGTTTAGATTTCTGGTTTCAACTCTCACTACATCCCTTTGGAAGCCCCATTCATTTCCTCTTCCCATTCTAGTCTCCCTGTTGGTCACTCCTTATTCATAGTGTGTCCTTCTCATTCCATCTGCACAGCAACCGCCTTCTCCATAAGACTGATGGTCACTAGAAGTGAACCATTCAGATACCTCTCCAGAGTGCCCCATCGTCACAGTGTCTGTCTTAGATTCCGAGCACTTTAGGGCAGGGATGGTTTTCATTCTGAATCTTGTAGAGAGCGAAGCACACTACTGGCACTAAACAATTAACAACAATCCAGGTGAGAAGAGCTTGCAGCTGAGCCTGAAGATTCCTGCTAAACTTCTGGGCCTGGTGGAATTTGTGGTGTAACCTTGTCCCAGAGGAGTTGGCAATTGATGAAGTACAATGAGCTTGTTCTTGGTTTAGATTTGACTGAACTGCAATTAATTTTGAGATGTGTTATGAGTCCACCTAGGAGAGACCATGCCACCAACCTAACAAACATGGTAACCCAGAAGTTTTCTAGTTTATTAATTTATCTAATGAGCACATGTAGAAAAGCTGTGTGCGGCAAACAAAATGGAAAAGACACGCAATGAGAACAGTTGAGTCTGAGAGGAATAAATCACTGAGTGCGAAGACCAAATGTAAAAATTCCTTCCAGGATTTGAATGTCTATAAATACAGCTGTGTTGTAATAAAAGCTGCATAGTACAGGTTCAGCATACTTAACTTCTTGGGGGTCACCTAGCAGTTCTAAGGATATTTACTTCCAGTGACAATTTCATGTGTGAAGGCAAAAGCATTTCCTGTAGTTCTGTGCTCGCACCCACCCAAATAATACATCTCCCCTTGGAATGTGGAAAGTCAGTATCTGTAATTGTATGCAATACAAAACCTGTCCCAGTTACAAGTGGCTTTATGTGCAGCGTTGCTTTCCTGGTACCCAGCAAGCCTTTCCGGTCCAGGCTGGATTGTGATAAAATGACAGCTCTCATTAAGAATTCAATGGGTTTCTTTTGTGGCATTTTGGAATTGACTTAAACCATCTGAAATTCCCCGTTAAGTGAACAATGAATTCAACGCCCTCTTCTTTAGTTGCACTTGGAACTAGGATCCTGTTGCAGATATGCTGATTGCATTGGTGCTTTGAGCAGAACCAGGCCAGCAGTGTGCAGAACAATGAAGTGTGTATGTCAGGGTATATAGTGGTGTTGTAGCCATGTTGGTTCCAGGATATTAGAGACACAAGGTGAGTGAGGTAATATCTTTGATTGGACCAACTTCTGTTGGTGAGAGGGAAGCTTTCGAACCACACAAAGCTCTGAGAGACCCAAAGAAGAGCTGTGTGTAAGCTCGAAAGCTTCTCTATCTCACCAACAGAAGTTGGACCAATCAAAGATATTACCTCACTCACCTTGTCTTTCCATGTCCTGGTATCAGAGCCAATCCATTGGCTAAAGTCAGCAGGAAGACATCTTGTAATTACTGGTGTCTTCAGGATATCAGCAGTTAATGGAAATGAAGAAAGAGTTTTCATAGCCCCCTATCTAGTCAAAACCACTACATAAGGACAGTGTCTGAGAGGGAGATAAAAGTCCTCATGTTTCTGGGCATAAGCAGTCTCTAATAAATAGGAGTTAAGAAGAAACTGCTTTTGTAGGCCAGTTATTCCATAACGGCTACTCCAAGGTTTCTCCCACTTCCCTTTGCAACATCTGGTGCCAGCCAATATCAGCGAGAGGCTATTGGACTAGATGGATCACCACCTGATCCAGTCTTGCAATTCCTGTCGATTATAAGTAGTTTAAAAATTGGAGTGACTATTTCATGTATTGCATGCCCCTTAGTTTATATACATTACAATGTGTCTGATGTTTTTCAGCCAGGAAAAGGAATTTTAATGACCCTTTATGGATGAGAGATTCCATTTGTAGAGGGGGAGTTTAACAGTGTTTAATAACAGCTCTTCTAATTTCACTTGGTCAGACTGTTTTGCTAAATATAAGAGTTTAATAATCCTTTTAAAGCCTCTCACCTCCAACATGTTTATAATATTTTGAAAGGAGTATGTTCAAAGGGCTGGGAGATAGGCCTGGAATGTGAGAAGGAATGGGGGTAATCAGAAGCCCTAAACTGCAGAAGAAAGTAATGTGGAGTAGGATAATATTGGAGTGAACAGTGAATGTGGGTAGACCTGGGTAGAGGAAAGTGGAGATGGGCAAAGAAGAGAGCAGAATAAATGTGTGCTGCCTCATTCAGCGCTTCCAGCCTCCAGTTACAAGCCCATTTTTTGTTGTTGTTGTTCAGCTAGACTAACTGAAAACTAGATGCACGCAGGAAGCATTTGAATCTGTACTGGTACATTTCTTCATGCTGAATATTGTGAGTTGAAGCAGCCCTTCAACCATACTAGGAAGGCAATGGCTAAAATCCAGGTATCTTCCCCCCCACCCCCAATATCCGAATCCTGCACTTTTGTCATTGCCAATCCCAGGATCTGGGGAAACTGGGTGCAAGAGCAAGAAGGAGGATGTTTGAATCTCTAACCTCCTTCCCAGGTGCTGGCTCTGGTGTGAATTCTTCTCTGGGTCTCCTAGCACTGGGGGGCAGCAGAGGCCAGGCTTCTTCAGTTCCCCTCCTAAAGGAGGAGGCAGAACAATTTGTCTCCAAGTAGCAGCCGTGTTAGTCTGTATCCGCAAAAAGAACAGGAGCATCTGAAGAAGAGAGCTGTAGCCCATGAAAGATTATGCTGAAATAAATTTGTTAGTCTCTAAGGTGCCACAAGTACTCCTGTTCAATTTGTCTCTGTTGTCCTCTGGGTAACGTGGGGAATGAAGAAGTGCTAGACACCTTCCCTTGGTCTCTTCTAGAAGCAGGGAATAAGCCAATTCCAGACGCATCTGGATTCCCACTCCTGACCTAACGCAAGGTGAAATCCTGGTGTAATGCAGCATGGCTGTAAGGCTGTGTGATTGCATCTGAGGGCCAGCCCCTACAAAGAGTCCAAGAACTCTACCGCTGCAGAGAGCTGATGATTATTCTGGAGCTAAATGCTGGAGACATTTGTCTAGTGATGATGTATGTGGATATGAACTCACTGTGGCAGGAGAAGCGGGGTTTGATTGGCGGGTGTGGCACGGATGATAGTCTTAAAAACAGTTATCTCCCATGCAGACAGGGATGCCCTGTTACAACATGGGGACTCTTCAGGTCTAGCAGCAGTTATGTTACTAAGTGAACACTAGCAGCATGTATACTCCAGTCCTATGGCAGGTACCAGTGCAAACGTTAGATGGCTTCTAAAGACTCTCCTTGCCTTTATTTAAACTTTCTATTTGTTTTCTACAGGGGATGTTTTAAATTCTTTTAACATGGATGTGCTGGGCAGGGGCCTCATTTGCTCAAACTTTTTTGATGATGAAATATTTCTCTAATAGCTCTTTTCCTGAAGAACAGTAAGTTCCCGCCCATAGTGTGGGTGAAGAACAATGCTGGGTTTTTTGTTTTGTTTTTTTTTGGTCTGAGTCACACATCCCTTCCTTCGGGCGCAAATTGTGGCTCGGAGTTGGGAGCGATCAGAAGGGAAACACAAAGCCACAGATTAAATCACATGATCAGAACCATGTACAGAAGGAGAGCAATACTTGGCTTTACAGTATCAGGGTGTATGGGGGATCCTTCAGGCTCAGAAGCCCTACTGTCATTA